CCTGGGCCGCACGCTCCAGGGCGACGCGGACGCGCGCAGCCGCAGCGTCGCGCTCGTTTGCCGCGGCGGCGGCCTCGGCTTCGGCCTCTTCGGCACGAGCAAGAGCGGCGCGGGCGTCCTCCTGGCACTTGCGCTCGGCCTCGTTGTCAGCAGCAGAGGGGTGAAGGGAGCCGCCATGGCGGAGAAGGGAGGGGCGGCGCAAGGGGCAGCACGCCGGAGGCGGCGGCGCTAGAAGCAGCACGCCAGAGAAGCGGAAGGGAAAACGGGTGTTACCCGGGCTCTGATACCATGTGAGAGAGATAAACTCTGAATAGTATATATTGATAGATCACAGATTACGAGGGATTACAATATATAGGCAGGAGAACTCAAGGGTTCAAGGTGTGAACACAATCTAGGAACCTAATTAACTCATACTAAATAGCACAAGTGCCTAGCTCTGGCGCATGGCTGTATCCAGAGTCCAAGGCGCAGGCACAATAGACTAGGAGGCAAACATAACTTGCTAACACAAAACAATAAAATATTGCTTAATTAAAACCTTTAGTGTGTCCACAGCTCCAGCTCCAAGATTTTCTGGAGCTGGGAATGATCAGCTCCAAATATTCTTGGATCTAGGACTGGCCAACTCCAAACAGTCTTGGAGCTGGAGCTGTGCCAAACAGGCCCTATATGTGTGCATTATCAATTTATCATCTCATTTGATAAACCTGTTCGAGCTGTTGCTGAGTCATGTTCCACCTATGGGCATCAATGTCTTAACTTCATTTATTCTCATGCATCTTACTGTGATTGTTTAGGACTTGCTAGTTGAACTTGAACCTGAGCTATCCCCCTAGGTTCAGAACACCATACACTCTGTCATGTGTGATCTGTATTAATTAGATGGCCCTGAACCAAAGCAGCATGCTAATTGCTGATGACTGGAGGCCACACAACATGGGCAGGGATAGATGGAAGATACTAGGAACTATGAAACATTTCTTGATCAACGAGTAGAGGTACAAGCCCATCCTTATATAGATGGGATGACTGGCCTTTTAATGAGTTTGTTAACCTCTAGAATTAAGGAGAGTATCAACCCATTTCGGTTATAGGTGCATTAGAAGTATTAGGCTCAAAAAATCAGAAAAAGTCCTGAAATTATCAAAAGAATAACAGGGCCATTGAAAATTTAAATTAGTACCATTGTTACAAATTTACCTAACTCCGAGTATAATAGTGCTCAGTTCAACCCCGCCTCTATCACTTGGACTTGCACTCCACCTTAGAGTTCAAACAGACCCAGGACAAATTGGGTTTCCACTATCCACACATCCACATATTACTTAAATTAAAGTTGAATTGAATACTATCTAATATCAAGCAAGTTTTGTTCACTATCATCAATAAAAATTCAATAAACTGCATTGTAATTGACTTGTACATACTGAGCAAAGTAGGAGATGCATCTTGAGCACCATTTGACATCTTCATCTATTAACTTCTGAGATATGAATTTCGTGCAAACTGAAAAAGTAAATCATAATATCAATGGCTGAAGCAATTAAACAGCTAGAGATTGCCTTGTTGTACAACAACAACAATAATAACATTAGCCTTTCAGTCCCAAGCAAGTTGGGGTAGGCTAGAGTTGAAACCCACCAAGAGCCCCAAGTCACGGTTCAGGCACTTCAATAGCTGCTTTCCAAGTACTTCTATTCAAACATAGATCTCTAGTTATATCCCAAGCTTTCAAATATCTTTTTATTACCTCCCCCATGTCAATTTCGGTCTTCCTCTACCTCTCCTCATATTATTAGCTTGACTTAGGACTCCACAATGCACTGGTGCCTCTGGAGGTCTCCTTTGGACATGGCCAAACCACCTCAACCGATGTTGGACAAGCTTTTCTTCAATTGGTGCTACCTCTAGGCGATCACGTATATCATCATTCCGAACTCGGTCCATTCTTATGTGACCGCAAATCCATCGCAACATACGCGTTTCTGCAACACTTAGTTGTTGAACATGTGGAATCTTTGTAGGCCAATATTCTGCTCCATACAACATAGCCGGTTTAATCGTCGTTCTATAGAACTTGCCTTTTAGCTTTTGTGGTACCCTCCTGTCACAGAGAATGCCAGAAGCTAGTTGCCACTTGATCCATCCTGCTTTGATTCTATGGCTAACGTCCGCATCAATATCTCCATCCCTCTGTAGCATCGATCCCAGATACCGAAAGGTATCCTTCTTAGGCACTACTTGACCTTCCAAACTCATATCTCCCTCCTCCTGTACAACTCCGTCAAAGTCACATCTCATGTATTCGGTTTTAGTTCCATTCAATCTAAAACCTTTAGACTCAAGGGTCTGCCGCCATAACTCTAGTTTCATATTTACTCCCGCCTGGCTTTCGTCCACTAACACTACATCATCAGCGAACAACATACACCAAGGGATATCCCCTTGTATGTTCCTGGTAACCTCATCCATTACCAAGGCAAAGAGATACGGGTTTAAGGCTGACCCTCGATGAAGTCCAATTTTAATCGGGAAGTAATCTGTGTTACCATTGTTTGTTCGAACACTAGTCACAACATTGTTGTACATGTCCTTGATGAGGGTCACGTACTTTGATGGGACTTTATGTTTGTCCAAAGACGACCACATAACATTTCTTGGTATCTTGTCATAAGCCTTCTCTAAGTCAATGAAAACTAAGTGGAGGTCCTTATTCTGCTCTCTAAACCGCTCCATAACCTGTCTTATTAAGAAGATTGTTTCTGTGGTTGACCTTCCGGGCATGAAACCAAATTGGTTTGTTGATATCTGCGTCGTTCCTCGCAGGCGCTGCTCGATGACTCTCTCCTATAACTTCATAGTGTGGCTCATCAACTTAATTCCCCGATAATTAGTACAATTTTGGATATCTCCCTTGTTCTTGTAAATTGGTACCAATATGCTTCTTCTCCACTCCTCAGGCATCTTGTTCGATCAAAATATATTGTTGAACATCTTGGTTAGCCTTGTTGTACATACATTTTTTTTAAAAAAAAACTAGAGATTGCCCTATTGACATGCTCTGTTTTACTGCATCTTACAAAAGTAGGCAAAGACACTATGTTGACACCTTTACTAGCAAATCAGCTTGCATGAAATTTGATTGGAGGTGTAGCTTTGGTACCATGCTTTTATAGACAATTCTTGCTTCTAATCTGTAATTGTGTCTGAATGGATCAGCGACATTGTTTTCTAGATAATCTAGGAGGAAAAAACTAATCAAATTGTTCACTGGCTTTCACCTAATGACTGAGCTAGCACACATTAGTTACAAATAACTTGATCCTAGTGATATCATCACCTTGAGGCGTTTGGAGAGAGGAAGATGGGCAACTTGTTATTCGGACTAATATTCAGGGCTATGAGCCAGTGAAAAGTTCTTTACTCTGTTTTTTTTTGACAAGACAGCTACAGTTGGACTAGAATAAAGGTGTACAAATACTTCATCGGTTAATCTTTAATTTAATGCATTTGTACAAGAAATACACTTTAAAAGGATAAAGCTTGTTTTCTGTTCCTTCCAAATGTAGAAGTTGAATTGTGACAAAAAAAAGGACCAAACGAATTATAGAACATTACTCTCTGGAAGGAAGATACTTTGGCTGGCTAAATGCTCTTGCTTTATTCTGAGTGCAAATCTCGAAAGCTTTCTACATACATTGGCACTTAAGGTAGGCCTCCACTAGGCTTTTGAGAGACTCAGCTGACATCTATGACATTAGCATAGAATCACAGTGTGATGATAAGGCAATGAATTGGTGCCCCGGTCTAAGTCAGAAAGTTTGATGATCTTGGTTCTGAACCAAAAGATTTTGGGGGCAAGTTATGTTGAGTGACTAAGTCTGAAAGTTTGATGACCATAGGATGCACACAATTGGGACTTCTCTCCCACAATATATTATTGTTAGGCTAGCACATATAGCATATTATAAACATGATGGATTATGCTGAACCACAATTTTTACAGTGCAACTTAAAAATGCTATGCTCTACCTTTATACATTTCAACTGTCTATACGAAATATTTAATCAATATAATTTCATTTTTGTACCTAATGTCTCTGACCTGAGATGTCCAATGAATTTATCCTCTATGCATGTAATGTGTGTTTATCCTCTGTGCATGTAATGCACAATAATAGTAGGGCCATTTTGTTTTCTGCACACTGAATATTCTGAAATTCAGTCCCTCCCACTGTGTGGCGTAGTGAATTTCAGTCTCTCAAACATAGCACCCCTCAGATCCGAGAATTCTGATACAGGGCAGTAGCACAAGGTAAACTTCACTGAAGGAATCACTCATATATTGCTGGGATCTCACTCACAAGCTCGGATTACTTTTTTTTTTAAGCCTCTCATCTGGGTACAGTTGTAGCATCTGTTCATGCACACACACGCATGCATCCAAGGACACCACACTCATACCACACGTGCACGACTAGACCTACAACTAGACACAGAGTAGAAGACCGCGTTCTTCTAGAGATCACCGAAACCATCATAGCTTCGTAGGCGGCAGGAACGTCACACAGTCCCTTTGTGGCATCACGCGAGAGAGGCTGTAGATTTTTATTTGGGAGCGAGTCCTGCTAAGAGACACATGTTCTATTCTAGGAATCGAACCACGCCGGCTGCTTGGCCACTGCCACCGCTAGCCACTTGAGCCTTCGCTCGGTCTTGCAAACTCGGATTACTAACATGTAAGACATAATCTGCTGCTGATCTCCCTCTCTGATTCTGCATCAGGGTCAGGCATTTGGTCAGCTCCTGGTTGCTGTAGAGTGTAAGGCAATAGGAGCTGACCAGGGTTCTAGTTTCCAACCGAAGCCTTGAGGTGTCATGGCTTATTTGGAATTTGGAATTTGGAATTAGTAATGTAATGTAGAAGATCTATCTCTTGGCTGGCAACAATTACCTATGTATATGACGATATGTTAACATAGATATTCACTTGGCAGGATGAAGTAGTAACGAGAATAGAGGAGAGGATATCTGTTTGGACATTTCTTCCACCAGGTACCTCGAAAGCTTCAATTAAATTACTCAAAAGCATTTCCTTCCTTTTAATTGTCAACAATCTTAACTCTATGCTTCTGGCATGCTCAGAGAATGGTGAATCCATTCAGATATTACACTATCAGAATGGTGAGAAATACGAACCCCACTATGACTACTTCCATGACAAAAATAATCAAGCCCTGGGTGGCCATCGCATTGCCACTGTGCTCATGTACTTATCAAATGTTGAGAAGGGTGGAGAGACCATCTTCCCCAATGCAGAGGTAGTTACTTATCCCTCCTGTGTTACTTTCTTAAGAATGCCAGTTGTAATTGTAATAACTCCAACATTCCACAGGGGAAGCTATTACAACCCAAGGACGACACATGGTCTGATTGTGCAAGAAATGGATATGCAGGTATAACAGTGTTTCTTGTAGAACTCGAGTTACATTGCAGATCTGCAAGCTATATATATCATCTTGACCAGTTCTTACCTGATGTGACTATGGCCCATGTCCCTTTTTATTTGATATAATGTCACTAGTAGTTTCTTAGCAGGCTTCCATAGCTTTATCATGCGTGTACCTTCCACCATGCATATTTACTCTGATGTCTAGCTGCTGCTGGTTTCCATGTGCAGTTAAACCGGTAAAGGGTGATGCCCTGCTGTTCTTCAGTCTCCACCCTGATGCAACAACGGACTCTGAGAGCTTGCACGGTAGCTGCCCTGTCATCGAAGGCCAGAAGTGGTCGGCAACTAAATGGATCCATGTGAGGTCGTTTGACCACCCTGTCAAGCAGCCGGGTTCCTCCGATGGATGCGAGGACGACAATATCCTCTGTCCCCAGTGGGCGGCCGTGGGTGAGTGCGCCAAGAACCCTAACTACATGGTGGGGACCAAGGAAGCTCCTGGCTTCTGCCGGAAGAGCTGCAAAGTATGCGCAGAGTAAGGTATTAATCCACTGTCTGATAAGTATCATGGCATGTTACATACTAGTTGCTGTTCCCATTACCAGGGTTTAGATACGACTGAGTATAGCATGTATAAGTGCAACCCAGAAGAAGGAATCGTAAGAGCTAGAACTCATGCCTTGTCCAAAGTTAAAAAATGGTTACCTTGTTAAGTTAAGCAATCTAATCAATGGCAACGGTTCGAGCAATCTTGCTTCCTTCATTTGGCGCGATAACTTGTCTTGTGTCATGTGGGAAATGAAATGAAAGCTTTCCTTAAGATAGGAGGTTGGGGGAGGGTGGGGCAAGGATGCGCTTTGTGGTGTGTATATAAATGGTGTTTGGTGTCCTTTTACGTGTTGAGCTGTGCTCCAGTTGCCTACTGAATTGCAAAACGTACAGGCCTGGGTGGCCAAAGGTTGTGTGAACTAATCTGCCAAACGAAATAACTTCGCCTTTATGTTCTTAGCTGTTGGGTGCAGAAAGATGCACGTTGCTGACACGAATGAGAATAGTCCCTGCCCCCCCTTTTCACTTCACCTTGTGTGATCTTGCATTCAATTCCGGTTGGTACATAGCCATAGTACAATATATTACCGTAGTAGAGGTGACCAATACAATACAAAGAGAAAAATACTACTGCCCATTGCCATGCATCATCATCACAATGAATTTAGTAGCAAAGACACACCACAATAACCCAATTTTCTTTCCTTTTTTTTTAATAACCTTAGCTAGCAACCTTTGGCTTTGGGGTGGCGACGACTCCGTCGTTTCCTGCAAGCGCCCGGTACTTGTCCCTCCTGGTGAGACTTGTGCACTCGTAGGAGAGCGTGGCGGCGATGAGCCTCTGGATGTAGTTGGCCACCTCGTGGCTGGTCCTGCCGCCGGCGCAGGTGAGCTCCGGCGGGAGCTTGTTGAGGAAGGTGACGACGTACGCCGGGCTCGGGTTCATGAAGAAGTAGAACGGGTCCATCCCCTTCCAGCCCCTGGCCGTGGTGCCGTGGAACATGCTCATCCGGTTCTCCATGGCGACGGGCACCACCTCGTGGGTGAGCTCGGCGAAGAGCGCCGAGAAGCGCAGCAGGAAGGGCTCCCGGCACGTGGTCCCCTCGGGGCAGATGACCAGGTCGCCCTCCGCCAGCAGGTCCCGGATCATGGCGGCGTCCGACGCGCGGTCCCGCGACAGGCGCACCGTCCGGATGGGCGACAGGAACTCGGAGAGGCGGGAGAGCGAGTAGGTGACGGCCGCGACGGGGCGGCCCAGCGCGGCGGACAGGAAGATGGGGTCCAGCAGCGTCCGGTGCGAGCAGGCGAAGAGGACGCCGCTCCGGCCCTTGGCGCGCTCGGCGCGCGGCGGCGGCGGCGCGCCACGCACCAGGACGCGCACGCCCAGCGCCCAGAAGGCGTAGTACACCAGCGGCATGGGCAGCAGCGCCCCCGCCGCGATGCGCAGACAGGCGAGCGCAAGCCCCACGGGGAACCAGAGCACGACGAGCAGCGCCACCAGCGGCGTCGGCCGTCGCACCAGGCGGCCGTCGTGGAAGATGACCGGACGAGGCAGCTGGTCCATGGGCAATGGCTCCACCGGCGCGCGCGGTACGATGTACGCTTCCTGCATCCATCCATCCATGCATGCACAGCGCAGCGCAGGCGCGGCGCCCACAACTTTGCGTTAATGGCGAATTAAGAAGAGGGCATGCATGGTCTCATCAGCATTAAAAGCCGTAATATGGTAGTGCTAGCACAATGAATGAATGAATATAAAAATCGAAGATGAGTGCAGCTAGCTACCACCGTGCGCCATCACTTGTTAGTGCTACCATATGCTACATTTAGAATCTAGAATGTAGTCTCATGAAACTGTATCAAGTGCTCTAAAATTGTACACTATTGCATTAGTTGTTCAGCCTACATAGTAGTGGAATGAGCTTTGTCGAAATTCCTGTTCTCATTGCCTACTATTGGAGACAACAGCCAAGGAAAGGACAGGGCACAGAGCATGACTACTTGCTGCATCCTACCGAGGACCTTTTGTTGAGTTTTTAGTGCTATGTTTTCAGCTTCGTGTTCCTACTTCCATTTCCAAGCAAGTGTCGAAAGATGGAGCAATATTTCGTCTAGTAGACAATTAAAGGAGCTCGATCGGCAGGACAAGCTTGTGTGTCCATCGAAATCTCAGCACAGGACAGACAAGCAACAGTAGCAGCGGTACATGCACCATCACTGTCCATCCCAATGCAGCTCACTCCAGCCCTGCTATCTAGCTAGGGCTAGGAACTATGGTTAGTTAGATTCACCTAAAAGGTTGTACTGGCGTCGCCTGGGCTGTTTGGTTCGCTGCCGTTGGTAGCCAGCCAGGCTGTGACGCCGCCACAGTTTTATGGCGAGGGAAAAGCTCGCCGCACTTGTGGCGTAAACTATCACAGAAATGAACTGTAACGTTGCGTGGCCGCCTCAACTTACGTGGGAACCAAACAATAGCCTGTTTTGCGTGGCTGCCGCATCCAAGGCGTGGCGAAGTCTGGCGGGGAGCCAAACACCCAACTACTTTGGTGTGGTGCGGCCAAGTCTTCGCCAAGATTTTGCCATATTATAGTTACACATGCATGCATGTTTTACACGGAAACCGAAACTTAACAATCCAAGTTTCACCAACGCAGCTCGTTACACAAACTTAGCCGTGTGTACGTACTCAACTAACGGCATGCAGGATGTCCAAATATAAAGCCTACACGAGTCTGCTTTGTGTGTGCTGACAGTTTAGGCAATCGTCTTAGCTTGCAGACAAAACAGAAAGGCTCTCGCGAATGGGCCGGTAGTCATAGTGCACTATTTTCTTGAATTTTTCAAAAAATTTAGGTTACATGCCTATATGCGTGTTCGGTGATACTGTACGTTTTTCACTCACTAAACCTTCCAATCTCTTTTTGCGTGTGTACAGAGGCTATATTACATTAGTTTTTTGCGTGTGAAGTGTGTGGCGTCCAAGTTGTAACCGATAAAAAAAAAAAAAGGCTCTCTCTCAGTCCTATCTACCGGCCAAACGTAATTAACGCCAACCAAATAACTAAATCAAAATCGATAATAAATATATATGAGCGTTGGTTGCTGCTGGGCAGCATATGCTTGCCATGCCGGGTCCCGCCCCTGACCAACGAACACTCTTTACTGCACAAAGATGTGACCCAACCAGATTATTAAATGTTTGCATTATTATATATAATCGCATATCTGAGTGCTCCAACTATATATGTGCGGTGTGTAGTTTTATTTAGTACTGGTAGTTGTGGGTGTGCTACGTACCAGTATGGAGAAAGGTGTATCATAATCATATCATATATCCATGCTGACTTGCTGATGTGAACAACCATGAGGTGTAAGCATGCATGTTTAAGAGCATGTTTGGAGCAGTATGCTTTGAACCAAATACAACCTTCAGAAATTTGCAGGAACAATTTGCTTGGGTCTGTTTGGAACGTGAATTTCTATCTTCAATTCTGTACTTTTTCCTATATATGTTTTTCTTTGTACACATGGCTCACAGGGAAACTTGTTGATAGTGTTAGTTTGTTCTCTCAAACTAATTTGTGCCAGGTCAAGGGCGGCGCGAGAACATTTGAAGTCGATGGCCTCTACATACATATTAATTCAATTCAATTCAATTCGATATCGATTTACAAAGAAGTTGAGCACTTTCTTTTTTCTTTTTCGTCGTGCCAGCTAGGCAGCTAGTGTGTGTAGTAACTCTGATCCACACCACAACAGTGCCATATATCTCTAATTTATGGCGGGAAGATGCAAATTAAAAACCCCATGGCTGCAAACACATGCGTGCGATGCAACGCGGTTCGCCCGGTACCACATCCACATGTGCCATATATAGCTAGCTTATTAACAGGGTGTTTGGTTCTTTAATCGCTCTTAAAATTCATGTTATATCGAATATTTAGATACTAATAAAGAGCATTAAATATAGATTAATTATAAAACCAATTACATAGATGGAGGCTAATTTGCGAAACGATTTTTTAAGCATAATTAATCTGTCATTAACACATGTTTACTGTAGCAACACGTTATCAAAATCATGGACTAATTAAGCTTAAAAAATTCGTCTCGCAAATTAATTACAAGTTGTGTAGTTAGTTTCATAATTAGTCTATATTTAATACTACGTACATATATCTAAATATTCAATGTGACAGGAATTTTAGGAAGGCGCGTAGAAACCAAGGCCTAAGCTTCTCCGATCCACGGTGGCCAAGTGACAGTACAGCATTCGCTCCACGGCCAATAATTCTGTGCAGCTCGATTTAATATATATTTTTTCACATAGTGGTTCAACTGCTGTAGAAGTGTGTGTGTGTGGGAGGGGGAATCACTTATTGGCTGTATACTGCTTGTGAAACTCGTGCATTCAAAACATTTGTACGAATACATATGTGTATATAAAACTCGTGCATTCAAAACTCGTGAATTCCATGAACGAAAGGAGAAAGGTGAAGAACATATGTGTATATAAGCTGGTGCTTGTACGAATACGGAATCATCTATATTTATATATGGAGAAGAGAAGAGAGTCACTGAAGGGGTACGTTGCCATAAACGGAGTAATACGGTAATACGGAATATTTGGAGAGTTAATAAATATACAGTGTTGTGACAACTGGTGTCCTGCAGGCCGTACCTTGCACATGCTCATGAAGGCGTAGTCGGAGCGGCTGTCCCCGAGTCCGACGTCGGGCGCGTCGCCGCCGTCGCCGTCGGCGGCCAAGATCTCCCTGAGCGCCTCGGCCTTGCGCCTGCCGACGAGGACGCCCCTCACCATGCCCGTTGCGCGGCCGCGCCACGTGGCGAGCTCGGTGCCCGCGACGGCGTCGGCGCCGAGGCAGTCCCTGAGGAAGGGCTCAGCGAAGACCCTGGGCGTGGCCGTGAGCACGACGCGCCTCCGGGAGCACGCCGAGAAGATGCGCCACGCGGCCGGGTGCACGTCGGC